CATTAAAGGGCTAGAAGAATGTTGTGTGTTCTGTCAGTGCTATGCTGCACCCTGGCTGTCTTGTTCTTTCCTTGTGACCCTTCTGTAAGGGAATGTCCAGTGTCTACATATGGGCTTTGGGTCTCCATTCCAACATCTATCATTTGCATGGGTATATTTGTTTTGGGTCTTCTGATGGCCGATAGCTGATCTCATTGACACCTTGTGATCAATCAGGCTGGTGTGCTTCTTCCATGTGGGCTTTGTTGCTTCCCTGATAGATGGCTGCTTGTTTAACTTCAGGCCTTTAAGACCCTAGATGCTATATCTTTTGATAGCCAGGCACCATCAACTTTCTTCACCACATTTGCTTATGTACCCATTTTGACTTTAGCAATCGTGTCGGGAAAGTGAGCATCACAAAATGCCAGGTTATTAGAACAATGTGTTCTTGCATTGAGGGAAGAATACTTGTGTAAAGGCCTAATGCCCATCTGCTACCTTAATACTTAACATTTAAATATATGTACATAGACTTATATCTCTATCACTATATGTTAATATATTTACATATGTGCATGTCTATATTTATACCTCTATAAATATCTTTTGCCTCCTACTTCTTTCATCTATTTCTTTTTACTTTCCTCCTGTCCCACTCTCATGTTCAACCTTCATTTGACTTTTAGTACATTCTGTTGGCTACATTGCAGTTGATCAAACCTCATCAGACATTCTATGCCCTCCTTGTCATTGATTTTAGATCTCTTACTGTTCCTTTGTGCCAGGGTTTGTTGGGATCCCCTCCCTTTCTTACACCTCCTTCTCTCCCATGTCCCCCAGAGCAATCAGCCATGTTGTTTTTCTCCCTGGGATTGGTTATCCTGCCTATCCTATATGGATAGACATGAGGAAAAGGAAAAAGAAAGAGGGGGATGGGGGCGAAGGCCTATAAATAGTTCCAGGTCTGTCTGCTGACCCTTCTGAATCTTTTCCAGTTGGATCTGGTGAAGTGTTCTGCCCTGCCCACCGATTCCACGGTCTGTTTTTGGGATTCCTTGGATACTTCATTGCTTTGTTCCCCTTGCTGCTCTGTTGCACTCCCTTTGTGTTTCACTCCGTGGATTGGGGGAGAAGGGGTCAGACCGGGCACACTTCCCACACTGTGTCTCCAGGACTGAGAATCAAAGTCTTTGAAGGGAGAAGTAAAATAGAACATTGGGCTCATTCTGACACATCTCCCTTCTCACCAGATTCTCAGGCCCCCGAGGCTTGGCTGGTCTGGTGGATCTCCTTTACTCTCACCCTTACATTCTTAAACTTAACTCAATTACTGAAGTTGGTGTTAGTGGGAGGGTTGGTCTGAAATGTGACAGTTCATGATAGCTTCTGAGCTAGCTAGAATGAAGAGAACTGCAGGTATATTTAAGAGAAGGGCCCAAAGAGATGTCAAGAGGAGAGTAGGTATGCCAATGGGATGGAATCGAGAAGATTCCTTGACAGTGGAGCGATATTAGCAATTCAAGAGCATAGTGTTTCCATTAAATATAGTTTATAACATCTAATATTGTTCTATAGATCAAGATTCAGTGCCAGAAACTAGACATTTTATTTGAAACAGGAAAATATTGAATATAGGGGGTTGTGCTTACAGATAGTTAGAAGACCTTAAGGAGTACATTTCTAGGCTTGCCCTTTAAGAATGAACAAGAGCTGCCCTGTCCATGGAGCTGTCCCTGGATGTGTAGTCGAAGCACGGAGCTCAGCCAATGCTCACACTCATGCTAGCAGCAGTGTGAAAGAAGGGAGAATCTAA